GTTCTTGCTGTTTATAGAAACGTGAAGCTAAGAGGTGACTAATAAGCCGCATACGAGATGCCTAGAACACTCCATTAGCAGCAGGGTGCATTAGCATACAACGATAATTACACCACGAACCTGATACACCATATCCTTTTCTTTAACTATTACAGATAAATTATCATTTTGGTTAATGTCGGGCTCTGTTGCAGTGAGAGACGATTGCAGAAAAATGTCTGCTGACGCTATTGTACCCAACTTCTGAATAAAAATAGAGGTTAAAAAGAACTAAACCAAACATTTTGCACGATTGCTTGTCAAGAAAATCAGGCGCGGGTCTTTTAAAGACAACCTGTTCACTCAGCTGCGTGTGTCCTGATCTTGCCGCGTGTGAGTCAGGGGGGTCAGTAGCGTGCCACTTCCTCTGGTCAAAAGTGCACGGGAATGGGGCAGGTTAACAAATCCAGGGTGCAGTCTCCATACTCCTACCGCGCTGAATCAGGGCCAGCCACACACTTATTCATAGCCAATAGCGATACTTTTCTGCGCTCTTCACTTTTGCTTGTTCTCTGCCGCTGAGCATGTGTCCCGCTGCGGGCATTGGTAGCGATGCAAGCGCAGTGCATTGAGGATAGCACGGGCGGAATACTTAGATGGTGCATGCGTATCACCGCTCTTCAGCCCCGTTCCCACGCACTTCTGAGCGGAGAAAATGGGGGGAGGCGGTCGTTTGGCGCGATTCCATTGCAATTGACGTGTTTTGACAGGTATGGTAAGTCCCTACCAAGTTGGATAACTTGTATGAATCACTGGACTATGAGGTTTTCGTAATTTGTAGTCTGCCAAAAGCCGTGGCTGTGGGCTATAGTGCCCATAATTCTCAGCCAAGCCTTCTTCTAATGACCACTTAGGGAAAAAACTAATTTGGAACTATGGGCGAGTTGTCTCATCTGGAACACTATTCACCTGACACGTTTTGACGGGGAGGTGATAGAAAAATCGCGCCAAACGACATACACCCAGAAAATGGCGCACTACAGCACCTGCAGAGCCACTAATCTCGCAGAATGGCTCCCAGTTCTCAAGAGTGTACAAGTTCTTTTAAGTAGTGTGGGGAGCATTTAGCAACTACTATCAACAAATTAACCGTATTTTTAACTTCTTATAAACTCTTGCAGAGCTACAAAATGGTACAAGTCTCATATTGCATACTACCACAAAATATTGGGCCAGCAGAGGACCCAGGATATTCAGGATCTGGAACGACAAACTTCTCTGAATAACCACGGACGACTCAGTGAAAAGTGAGCGAAAGTGCCAGCTCCACGGTCAATGAACCGAGTTCATAGAGTGAGAAGCAGCGGTTTCCGCACTTTGTGTGAAGCGGTTTACCTACCCCAAAGAAAAGTCCGCCGGTCTCGACAACAAAGATCTTAAGTGCATCCTGGTTTGGTACTTTTCGCGTGTACAACAAGAGAAATGAAACTGGCACCACAGAGCAGCTTTAGAAGAGCCTATAGTACTATATAAAATGAGTAGCACAGTAGGAGGAGTTTGAAAATCTTCTCATACCTCACGGATATTCTTATCAGGAAGCATGACAACACCAGGTTTAACACAAGACTTTCGAGCTTCATCGTTACCGAACATCCTGAGGTCCTCCACCACGATACTGTAACGAACAATCTTCTCACATAACTAACATGGGGGAGTAAAGTGGATCCTAACACTGACAGAACCTCGGGTTTGTAAGCACTTGATGGCGGAGAGTGATGACATTGTTGCGTATTAACAAGGCTTCAGCTGAAGATCCACAAAGCCTCCAAAGAAACAGTGCATCTTCCACCGGCATTTCTCGCAAGATCCAGTCCTTCTTGCTGTTAGAACTTATTTTCTCTGAAATCACAAAAAAAGAATTTGATTCACAACAACAGCTCCAATCCTTCGGCACGTACCACCAAGACTTTCCACGGATTCGAAGTAGGAAGAATCGCAATTCTGGACTTGGCGAGTAATGCAGAGTATCTCATTAGGAGTGGGACGTTTCGAGGGCAACAATGAAAGACACTCCTCCATGATAACAAGCAATTTTTGGTCCAACTCCGAGATATCTCGCGCCGAGTGAGATACCGACCGTAACGCTTTCAATATTGGGTCCAAAAGTGAACCATTAACGGCTGAAATCACAAGCTTTGATCAATTTAGTTCAGAAATGTGCTGCAGAGCGAAGCAGAACTTCCAATGTGGGTAACCTGCGAGGAAGATCAGGAAGATGACTGCACCATTTAGCACGGTAAGGGATTCCAATTTCCCAGTCTTTGCAAGGCAGATGTAATGATTATGAGCGCAAAAAAATATGGTCCAGTGAACAAGAAGAGTTACTGACCATATGCTGAATTATGGACGACCCACAAGCCATGAACCGCCCACCCCACACAAGGCCTAGTGAGGACAGCCATTTCGCGCAGTTCGGCTTAAAGGGCACCGACAGGTATCAGCGAAGACCGTATCAATGATATGAGACCTATTGGTTCACGAAATAGCAAACGGAACTAGTGAGAGTGCAAACTGCTCCTTTCCAAGCGCCCAGTGGTCTGAGAGCCATGTGGGGGGGGGGGGTGCGGGGGAAGGGCGCATCACCCATAGATATCGAACAGTATCAATGCCAGCGTAGATCGCGTTAGTAAAAGGAGCACTTTCAGCATAACTTTCACATCGACAAACCCGATTAGGCCAAAAAATCGTGAAAGTTGACGAAAACCACAACCAGGGCGGAGGCTCCCAATGTACCAGATTTTAGGTTGTAAGTAATCTGCGGAACACCATGATGTTTCTGAATATTATTTTTCCGCAACCTTTCTTCATCTATCCACCCACGGTAGTAAACACTACCAATATCTGTGACATACAATCCACTTCAAAATATGGGATGGGCGGGGCTAC